CACAAAGGAGACTAACAACCAAAAAACATCAAAATAAAAATTAGAACAAACTAGTAAAAAACAAACTAGCTATAAATTAAAGCCCTCTCGGCTACTGACAAGCTTCACCAACGCCACCATCTGAGCCAACAAATTGAGTCGAACTTACAAAGAAGAACACTACCACAACCTAAAAATAATAGATCCAGAAACTCCTGACTTAGAGATGGTAAAGCCTAACCAAGTCTGACACCTTTAGATCTGATCTATCCTTCAAAGCGACAAAAAACGAGACAACAATCGGACGAGAAAGGGTCGCCATCACCATCCCCTCAATTGCGACAACCCGGTCGACCGACGCCAAAAGAGAGGAGCCCAAGATGGGCCTATCCCCGCCGCTGACAACGCCGAATGATCTCGGTCGAGATCTCACATGCACGAAATGAGCGACGTCGTCGGCACCATTGCCGACAACAGCAAGGCTGGAGCGGCTGACTGTGGAGGTGAGGCGGCGGCTCAGGTCTTCTTCTTTTTCCTGTTTCGAGAGAGAGAGAGAGAGAGAGATTATGTATTAATTGACAAATTGTCTTTCAAAATCAGCTTTTTACCATTTAAAAGTGAATTTGACCAATTAAAACCTGATTTTGGAAGACAATTTTAAAGAATCTTACATATATTTGAAGACAAGTCTAGAAATTGAAATAATACATGAGTAATGAAAAAATTCAAAGAAGTCTTTTGTTACACAAGCTTGGACAATCATATTGCTTCATCTATTATTTGATACACAAGTGATATATTTTCAAAATAACATAAAAAAAACTACTATATTCTTTAATAGAAGAATATAAATATATATATTTTTATTCATAAAACATGTAAGATCGACTCATCAAACCACAATAAAATATTAAGGAGATTTTAACTCATAAAAAAGAAATTTGGGGTTAATTAATTGATTCTTTGGGTGTTTTGAGTGTCCCCTCAGACTCGTCATATTTGGTGGTCAGGTTTACACTCAAAGTAAAATAAACACAATTTTTAAAAGTATATTTCAGGTTTTATTAGTGGTAATTTGAATGTAAATAAGCATAATTAGAAAACTTCTGATCTGAAAAACCTCGTGCAGCTTCTTCGTCAACCTTAGTTTGAACCCTCCTCTCTCTCTCTCTGAATCTTATTCCCACGATTCATCTCTCCCTGAAACCAAACCGAAAAGCATCACCATTCATTATCAATCTGTATATATATATTTCAGTCTATTATATATCATTTCATATAATTATATATTTTTTTGTTCTAATCGAATCAATCGCGATTTGGATCCATCCGCGAAACAGCCAGATCCGCCGGTCTCCGATCTCCGGCGATGGCCCCGACAAGACTCTTCCGATTGGGGCTTTTCATGCTGTTGATCCATTTCTCCTATTCAGATCCGGGTTCGGGCTGCCCTCGGACCAACACCTCCCTTCTCAACTTCATCTCCCACTTCACCATGGTGCAGCACCAGCTCCGTGGCCTTTTCTCCATCCTCGACGATTGCTCGTTTCGGGTCACCCAATTCGACATGCTTCCGGGTCAGGACGTCCACTGGTGGGGCGCCGCCGGCGATGATTTCCAGAACCTCACCAGCGGTTTCCTCATCTCCGACTCCTCGCAGCTCAACCGTACCTTTAAAAACGAAACCTTCGTCGTTCGCCTGCGGGAAAATGTGACCTGGGATCGAGTTAAAGTCGTCGCCGTTTGGGACCTTCCCACGGCTTCCAATTTCGGGCATATTTCGTTGAGTGGTATTGAATCTTCGGCCCCCTCCGAGCAGCCCACCATGTTTGAAAACTGTAAGGTTCTCTCTGATGGTTATAGGGTTAGGTGGAGCTTGAATGAGGGGGAGAATTTCATTGATATTGGTTTGGAGGCTGCAATTGGGATTCAGTATTACATGGCTTTCGGGTGGGCGAATCCGAATGCTACTTCTTTGATGGTAGGTGGTGACGTGGCCGTCACCGGATTTGAGGAGGATGGATTGCCGTTTTCTCACGATTATTATATCACCAAGTACAGTGAGTGTATGACCAATGAAGATGGCACTTTTCAGGGGGTTTGTCCCGACAGCATGTACAATTCTACCGATCCCATTGGGGAGGTGAATAATACGAAATTGATTTACGGACACAGAAAGGACGGTGTATCCTTCGTTAGGTATAGGAGACCACTGATTTCTAAAGATAGCAAATACGATTTAGATATTGATCCCACATCGAACATGATGGTCATATGGGCAGTAGGACTTATCAAGCCTCCAGATAGTCTGCGACCTTTTTATCTTCCGCAAAATCATGGTGGAACTTTCGGTCACCTGAGGCTTAACCTTTCCGAGGGAGTAGACGATTGTTTGGGGCCATTGGATGCTAAAGACAAAGAAGACCAAGATATTGCGATTGCTGACAAAAAAGAGCCGCTTGTTGTGTCGACAGGCCCTGCATTGCATTACCCGAATCCCCCAAATCCATCCAAAGTCCTCTACATCAACAAGAAGGAAGCTCCTCTTCTGAGAGTGGAAAGGGGTGTACCAGTGAAATTCTCAATACAGGCAGGGCATGATGTGGCGTTGTATATAACATCCGACCCTTTAGGAGGTAATGCAACTCTGAGGAATAAGTCGGAGATTATATATTTTGGTGGGCCCGAAGCTGAAGGAGTCCTGGCCAATCCCACGGAATTAGTCTGGGCGCCAAACAGGAATACGCCTGATCTCGTCTACTACCATTCTCTTTACACGCCTAAAATGGGCTGGAAAGTCGAGGTTGTCGATGGAGGCCTTCCGGATATGTATAGTAACAGCGTCTCGTTAGATGATCAGCAGGTTATGTTCTTCTGGACTCTTTCGGACAACAGCTCGATATCTATTGCTGCAAGGGGTGAGAAAAAGAGCGGGTATCTTGCGATCGGTTTTGGTCGTGGGATGCTAAACAGCTACGTTTATGTGGGTTGGGTTGATAATAATGGCACGGGAAGAGTAAGCACTTACTGGATTGATGGAAGAGATGCTTCTGACGTGCACCCCACAAAGGAGAATTTGACTTACGTGAGATGCAAATCCGAAAACGGCATAATCACACTCGAGTTCACACGTCCACTTAATCCATCATGTGACCGGAATTCGAGACCGGAATGCAATAACATAATCGATCCTTCTACTCCTCTGAAAGTCATCTGGGCTATGGGTGCTATGTGGTCAGATGACCATTTAAGCGTGCGGAACATGCATTTTGCGACCAGCAAGAGGCCAATGAGTGTGCTTCTAATGCATGGTTCGGCAGAGGCAGAGGAAGATCTGAGGCCTGTTTTGGCCGTGCATGGGTTTATGATGTTTCTTGCTTGGGGAATCTTGCTTCCAGGTGGAATCTTGGCAGCTAGGTACTTGAAGCACGTTAAGGATGACAGCTGGTTTAGGATTCATGTGAACTTGCAGTATTCGGGATTAGCTATTGTGTTCCTTGGTTTTCTTTTCGCTGTTGCTGAGCTTCGGGGCCTTACTTTCGACTCGTTGCATGTTAAGTTTGGGATGCTTGCGATATTACTGGCTTTGGCACAACCAGTGAATGCGTATTTAAGGCCTAAGAAGCCTGCTCCTGGAGAGGAGGCTTCTTTTAAGAGAGTCGTGTGGGAATATAGTCATTTTGTAACTGGAAGGTGTGCTATAGTTGTGGGATTTGCAGCTCTTATTAGTGGGATGAAGCATTTGGGAGAGAGGTATGGTGATGAGAATGCTCGGGGGTTGAGTTGGGCCTTGATAGTTTGGTTCTTGATAGGTGCTCTGATTGTAGTGTATTTGGAGTACCGTGAGATTAACAAGGGGCGGCAGGCCAGAATATCTGGCAGAAGCAATTGGGTGTTGGGTGATGGTGAAGAGGAGGATACTGACCTCTTGAACCGAAGTAGGCAGGTGGAGGATAAAGATTCACTTTCTTCAGAAAGAATGGAAGTTCAACTAGAACCATTAAATAGATAGTGATAGAGATTTGGTTGTCGCAAATATAATTGGTTGTTAGATATAATTTTTTGAAATACTTACGCATGCGGATAGGGAAATTTCAGGGTGTATTGAGATTTAATCTTCTTGTTATGACTTTCTCCTCCCATTTTTTTAAAGTATTCTGGAGAGCACAAGGTCCATCATGTTGTGTATACTCAACACATCAAGAACAACAAATTTTAATATGAACAAAAATATTTCATGTTGCTGTTATGTCTGTATCGAACAATATTTCAATGCCCCTTTCAAAATTTGACCATGATTCTGATACTGGGGTAACACATTTTTTTCTTTGGTGACAGGATTTGCGTTTTTGTTCTTGACTTTAGAATGTGGTAATGTATATTGAGCTTTGATTGAATGAGTTTCAATCTGATTGCCAGTAGTATTGAAGTGATTTCTGAGCTTAAAGTTTGGATCTTCACCTGGTCTGAGAACTGGATTGAGCTCAGTTTTGGACTTGAAGTGATATGTTTCCGACACTATGTTTTTTCTGTCTGCATTTGATTTGCATATAGTTCTGTTTGTACAATTTAGATCTGAGTGTCATCTAAGCAGAGTGGCTATTCCCTGCAAACTATATACAAATAATAATGGAGACTTGCTATGTGTGAATTAATAATTCTTTTGTTCCTCATTGTGTTTTCTTAGACATGGCTGTAATTGAGTCCAGTTTGCCATTTATGATGATCAGCTGAACTATCGATGTTCTGTAGTGATTTTACTAGTCATTATGCAAGCACAGACTTCTATTAGTGCATCTAATATGCCTCTGCATGATTTCAAGAAATGGCGCTTTTTTATCACTTTTTGTTTCAGTGTGTATTCGAGTAAAGCAGTTGTTTTATGTCGATAACAGCCAAAGCAACTGAAATTTTTCAAAGGGCGTTTGATAAATAGATTACAACGACATATCACCAATCATGGATGACAAAAGAACACTCACCCCAAATACAGCAAAAATAAGCTTTGACAACAGCACTTTAAAATAAACCGCATGGTACCAANTCTCTTTCTCTCTCCCGATCTATGCATCTTCGTCTCTATCTACCAAAACCCTCTTCATCGCCTCATAACACATAAACGAGATCCCAGCTGCCGGTACCAGCTTCAGACAACTCGGCCCAAGCCCCTTGTACAGACCACTTACTCCTTCCCGCTCGAGTATGCTGGCAAGTGCATGAAGCACGTTGTTGTACACTTGGCGCCCACTCACAGCCCCAACTTGCATGTGCTTGCGGGCCACCTCAAGAGGAAAAGTGGCCGTGCTTGAAATGGCCCCAGCCACTGACCCAATCAGGAGAGTCTCGATGTTGCCGATTTTTTCCTGTTTGAATACTTTTCGGTAGATTTTGCGCAAAGTGTCATAAGCACAGTAGTTTGTGGCTGCGTATGGGATTACGCCTATCAGGCTTGGGGTAAGGCCCCTGTAAAGCTCCGCGGGCCCTCCCTCTTGCAAAATTTTCACAAAGGCATCGACCAAGCCATTGTAGACTTCTCTCTAGGAATAGATTTAATGGAATTTGAAAATTTAAAAAAATAAAAATAAAAAAAAGGATGAATTGATTTTTTTATATTTTACTTTTTGTTTTCATATGTACCTGAATGGTTAGTCGTGTCTTGACCAACTCAAGAGGGTATGTGACGAGAGTCGAGCTCACTCCAGCACAGGCTCCGGCAATCAATGAGGGAGGGAAGGGCAGTTTGGGGGCTTCGCCAGCTTTTGGCGACAAATTCTTGTTCACAGTGTCGTAAACAAATAACTGAAACAAAAAACGTGAAGAACTGAGGAAAAGTTGGGGATTATGAACACAACCGAGCCCATATTGATTAGTTTTCATATCTAAGCCATTCCAAGAGATCGGTATGAATGAACAAGTAGAATAACAATGATACAACTTATAGATCAAGATCCATATTGCCTAGATTTGATTGTGGCATCCACTTGAAGAATATTGAATGGGCACCACTACATTTTACGAATGACTTGATATAGAGCACTAACAAAGTAGTTTTTTGCCTCGTATTAGGCAAACAAATTTCATCAAGGGCAAAGACAGGATAAGTAGAAAAATGAACATTTTCTCCCCTATTTTAGTGTGTATGAGTGCACACGTGCAATGCTAGAGCTAAAAAACATAATAGCCACTGCCATAGTAATAAACCTATTTCACGCCCTTCCACTATTCTCAAATGATAAAAGCACACGGGTATATCGAATATGGAAATGGAAAGAGAAAATAAAACACAAAAAGGGGTGATATCCAATCAGAAACATCGAAACATTTACAGGATATGCACAACAGCTAGAGCCTACAGACTATGCTAAGACAACAACCAAACCAACAAGTAAGATTCATGAGTTCTAATCCAAACTGACCAACGAAAGTACATGGTAATTGGTAATAGCATCACCACAGAGCATACCTCCCAGCTCACCATAAAGATTTTATAAGGACCATAGAACAAATTGTAAAACTAATAGAAATAGCCCTAGCATGAAGTAATAATCTCCACCAGATTCAGACTGTCAGGTGTCAACAAAATCATGAAAAGTGTTCACAAACATCATAACAATCCATAACCAATTCCACCACACTCGGAGTCAAAGATGGAGATATTACCACACATTAAGAAAAAGCAGAACAAAAAAATTACACAACTACAAGGTCAACAGAGCAGAATTACAAGAACGAGAACTAATTTCACATAAATTGAACTATTGAAGCAATCATTGAAATAGTTTTCCCCTCACCTCTATGGCCTTGCTAGGCGCAACACGAATCACATTGACGAAATTGCCCCTGAACAACCCCGGCCACCCTTCCGTGTTCATGATATCACGAAAGACTTCCATAGTCGAGTGCCCGCTACTCCCCACCATCAAATGTGTCCTAATCGTCTCTAGTGGGGCCACAGCAGTTCTCGAGACGGCCCCCGCTATTCCCCCACTTATCAGCCTCCTCAAGGAAGGATTCGAAATCTTAATCTTAAGCCTGAACCCGTTTTTCTTGTTCTTACCTTCTTGCTCAGAAATCTTGAAGCCCTCAGGCAGAGAAACATATTTCACGAGTAAGTCGGCGTACGGTATTTTAAAGCCGCCGTTTTCATTGTTCCCCATTTGGCTCACGGACGCGAACAGGCCGCCTCCTGGGTAGGAGCTGCAGTCGTTGAGACTCCATTGAAGCCCTAACTGAGAATTCGACACGAAACCATTATTATTGGTCTTGAACTCCAAAGACTGTATTTTTACACTCCCACCCATTGTTTCAAGACTTTCTAAAACCTCTGGAATCAAACCCTTGTCACTCTGCACTCTCCCTCAGAAACTTTTGCCTGAAAAAAAATTCAGATCAACCCCCAAACGCGGAAAGAAGCGAAAGATTCGATTTGGGGGAAATTGGTACGCAAAGAATCCATTTGTGACTAGGGTTGTTGATATAAATATCGGCAAATTATTAGGGAAAAATAAAAGACACTAATTTCCAAAAATATTTTAGGCCAATTGGCCCGATGAATCAGGACTCCTAATAAAGGACATCAACGGAATGTATAAATGTGATATAATTTGCAGTATCTGAAGCTGAGGTTGTGGAGGCGGAGTTCTCAAATGTTTCTATAAAAAGAAAAGCCATGGGCAGAACTGTTCTCCCTGATTCCTACCCCAAATTGAGAAAAGATAATGAAATGTAAATATGCCCTACAATATATGACTAGACATGGCCACGGGTACGGCAAGAACCCGACCCGACCCGACCCAGTCAGACCCATTGATCACGAGTTTGGGTCTGTGCCCGATTCAAATTGGACCGGTTCAGCGTCATATGTATGTAACTAACATATGGTTAAGCAGGTCAAGAAATCAACAATAGATGTTGTTTTCAATTTATTTAAGACGGGTCATGGATTTGGGTTGGACCCGGCCCGCCTGGTTAAATATCCGGCTCGTACCTAGATACGGAACGGTTCAGGGTCGATGATTTTGAACCCGGCGGCCAAGCCGGCCCAAAATTTGACTAGTAGTCCTGTGCTACTTCCAACTTAATAAATTAACAATACTTATGTGTAAGTAAAAAAAATATATACATAAAATGTTTTAAAATTAAAATCTTCAACTTAAATCTTCTAATATTATTTAAGGAACTTAATTGCATTTTGAATTAGTGTGTGGGGCTCGATTCACGAACAAATAATATATTATATATGTAGAGTTAGGATCCAATAAAAATGGTGGGTAGTCAGTGGCGAAACCAGCCAGTCATACTGGGGAGGGCCCAATTTGCCGCGGCGCACCACCCTCACTCCGGCCATCCCGCAGTGCACCACCCCAACTCCGGCCATCCCGCGGCGCACCACCCCAATTTGCTCATTTTGATACTATTTAACGCAGAAATTCAAACTCCCATAATTAAATGCTCGAAACTTTAAAAAATGCAAAATTTGTCCGTATAGAATCGTGCTTGAATTGTCTACACACTCCAACTCGATTCTCGTTAAACCGAGATCACACGCAACCTTACGGAACCCCGCAAAACGGCTTTTTATTCTTCTATTATGCGCACTCGACTTTGAGCTTCTCAAAATAAATGCTCGAAACTTCGAAATGTGAAATAAATTTTACAAACGATTTCTACTCTTCTCGTGCTTTCAAGGAAGCACTCCCGCTAATTTTCAGCATGCCTAACGAGGGCCGACGGTTACCCGAAGTCTAGACATGAAAATGACAATAAAATCACCGCCACTGCCATTTTTCTCTCAACTTCGGCCTACCCAAAATAAATGGTCGGGAGCTCAAAATCATAAATCGATGCCACCAACGCACTCTCCGCTTCCCATACTTTCAAAAAAGTATTTTTCGGTAATGATCGACTCGATTTTTTAGTCCTGTCGGTACACCGCAAGTCGGGTAATTAACCAACTCAAAATATAATAAAAATACAAAAAATATTAAATTCTGCTGATGTTATAGTTCTTCTTGTCCAGCCAAATTCCTTCAGTTCGACGTGAACAAAATTTTCGCGACAAAATCGGTGGCGCCCCTCCGGCCATGTATGCACCGCATGAAATCGGGGAGGGCCCAACATGCGCGCTCAAAGGAAAATCTTCCAGTTCCAGCAAAATCCCTCACCCCTAGTTCGATTTTTTTTTTTTTTTGGGGGGGGGCCGGCGCCATCCCAACCATACACATGGTTTCGCCCCTGTGGGTAGTGAAAGAACTAAGTGGGTGATTGTTTTTAGATTCAACTAGTTTTTATTTGGTTTGTTTTTTAACTATTGTTAATTTTGAAAAAATGTGGTATGGTTAGTTGTTAGTGGATATATTAAAATAATATTTAAATAAAATAATTAAAATTGATTTGATGTAAAGTATGAGAAAAATAATTGGAAGTTATGGTTAGTTAAAATTATGTTAGTTGATGAATAGTGAATTAAAAAGTCGATGTGACGTGTAAGAATGATTGGTTGATATTATTTAATTATATTGATAATATTGAGGATAGTGGAGTTGAGTTAAAGTAAAGTTAAATTTAAATTTTGTTTGATTTTTCCACTATTCAATTTATATCCAATCGCCCCCTAAGAATAAATTTGTACCGTTATTCCAACATATCATGGTCATGATCGAGTCAAATGTTAAATATGGAAGTCAAATATGCAGTAGCAGTTTTATAAATAAGTGTACAATTTGTGGTTAAATGCATATATTTGACCTCTGAGTAATGCCAAATTGGTCATTAAACACTCACACACTTATCCACACCCTGTGGGCCCTACCCATACCTAACCAACCCTCCACTAACACACACATACCTACACAAACTTTACGCACACACACCTACACACACACTTCGGCCAGAGATGGCGGCGAACGGAGTTGAGGCGACGCGGCGGCGGACGGATGCGAGGCGTCAAGCTAGCTGACAGAGACGAGGCGACCGACGAAGACGAGGCGAGGCAATGCGACGACAGAGGGAGGACGACCAAGGTTATCTACTTGGCCTTCTCCTTTCGGCAGATCTTGGGTCCGGTGGCAGCTGCGTGTTGCACGTTGACGAAGACGATATTGAAGACATAACAGTTAGGGTTTGATTTTCTAAATTTGATAGGCTTTATGGACTTGAATTATAAGTTCTGAAATTTTGTTTTGGTTGTTAGGTCATGTGTTGGTGAAGTATATTTATTTAGGGACTTATATGCGATTTTGTTAATTTTTATTTATTTTTTATTTTTTTTTTATTTTTGTTCAAATCGATAGAAATTCATTCACCAGAAAATAAAGTACAAGCCGGGGGCTAGGAAGCTCAATTTCAGTGCAAACAATATACAAAGGAGAGCCTCTTCAGGAGAGCTCTAGACAACAGCAAAAAACTAACAATGCATCAACTAGAGGCAGCTTGATTTCTGAAACCTTTAGAGACAACAAACAAATAGAACACCTAAGAGACATCAAACAGATCAAAGACAGAAGGACCAGGACTAAAATTTAAAAACACCAGGACAATGCTACAACTGAACCTAAGGACCTAGCAGCATAATCCCATCTTAGATTGTTGTCCCTGTCCCTTTGCAACGAGCAAATTCAATCCAGTCCCCATGGGCTGCAGAAACAATCAAGTGTGCAGGTAACCACTCCTTGAACTTCCACAAGTTTCTGGAATTCCATAACCACCAAAAAAGGTAAGTGGTTAATTCAATCCTATCCACAGCAACAATCTTTTCTCCAGCATCACAAATATCCCACCACCAAGATTTGAAAGATTTATGAGCAGATGGTGGATCATACCACTGAATAGGGGAAAGTTTCCAAACCTGTTGTGCTCTTCTGCAGCTAAAAAATACATGCTCTATTGTTTCTACATATTCACTACAACTACAACAAATAACATCAATGCTCATGCCCCTTCTGAATAAGTTTTGAGCCACTGGTAGAATGTTAGAGTAGGATTTCCACAAGAAGTGCTTCAATTTATTTTTGATTTTAAGGCCCCAACTTTTAAGTCTCACTCTCTTGTCTCTCTTAGCGGAGCCACTTCCTTCTGCTATATCCATGGCTTTCACTCTTTTCTCAATGAGGTAGTTATAAGAGCAAGCAACAGAGAATTTACCCTTAGAGTCTAGAGACCAAATCCATTTGTCAGGCAAGAGAGGGCCAAGAGATTTGATGTTGAGAATAGCTTCCTGAACCTGCCTAAGGAAAGTTCCCTCAATAATGGTTTTGTTCCATCTACGGCCTCCTTCTTCAAAAAGCTAAAAAACCCACTCCAATTCACTTCTTGCAGGATCATCTCTCCCAACGTACTGCAGGACTTCTGGTGGTAGCCAGCGATCATGTCATATCCTAGTGCTTCTGCCATTTCTAACTTCAATCTGGAAGAATTGCTTGAATTTGTCTCTGACTTGGAGCCAGCTGCTCCACAACCAGGAGGCATTTGAAGATTTAGTAGTTGTAAGCAGTGACCCCTGATGAAAATATTTGCCTTTCAAAATTTTAGAAACTAGCAGGTTAGGCTTACTCACAATTCTCCAGAGTTGTTTCAAAATGAGAGCATCATTGAAAGAGTTGATATCTTTGAAGCCAAGTCCCCCCACAGATGTAGGGAGAGTCATAAAGGGTCACTTCTTCTAGTGCATGCCATTCAGATGCTCATTTTTGCTCCACCAGAATTGAGTTGTCAATTTGGCAATGTCTTTACAGATGCTTTGAGGAAGACTAAAGCAGGACATAGAGAAAATTGGCAGGGCACCAATCACAGCCTTAATGAGGACCTCTTTCCCTGACTCTGTCAGCCAATTATTTTTCCAGCTAACCAGTTTGGATCTCACAGACTTTACAACAAACTCAAAGGATTTCTTTTTTGATCTTCTAATTCCCATAGGTAATCCTAAGTATCTTGTAGACCTTTGCTCCTGAATACCCCTTAGAATTCTGCAGATATTAGATTTGGGAACTTCCTGAGAGTTTCTGCTGAAGAAAATGGATGATTTGCCCAAGTTGACTCTCTGACCAGAAAATTTCTAGTATTTATGAAGAATATTCAGCAAAGTCTGAGCATGATCCTCATTAGCCTCACAAAGAACTAAGGTATCATCCGCAAATAGCAAATGTGTGACTGCAGGGCAATTCCTAGCCATCCTCAGAGATTTGAAACATAGGAGTGCCAGTCTTTATGTCATCCCAGGCCTTTTGAATAGTTTCTTTAACTCCAGCCATCTTGATCCATCTTTTATCAAACAGAAACCGGCTCTGTTTTATCTTAACAGTCTCAGGTTTATCCAGCAGAATAAGCAATCTGTGGTCAGAGGAGCTCCTATAAAAACTCTCAACCTCTGCATTTTGGTTAGACTGTAGCCATTCAAAGGACCCAAAGATAATGTCAATTTTCTCTTCTATAAATCCTTCTTCACTTATGTTATTTGCCCAGGTGAAGTTGTGGCCCACAAGGTTGAGCTCTTGCATGTGCATTCTGGAGATAAAAGAATTAAAGCCAAGGAGTTCCCAGTCAGCTTTCTTTCTACCACCACTTTTTTCACTGTGGTCACAGGTTTCATTCCAGTCACCTCCGAGTAACCAGTAATTACCCCAGTTAGATTTTGCATCTTCCAGAAACTGCCATTCTTGCTCCCTTTGCCTTTTGTCTAAACTTGCATGGACAAAACAA